TTAATGTTTGCTTCAAATTTAAATAATAATATTGCCAGATAGAGTATTCTTGGTTGGAAGCTCTTCTGTTTCATTGCATTAAATATATCATGGCACTCCCTTCTGGCCTGTAAGGTTTCTGCTGAGTAGTCTGCTGATAGTCTGATGGGGTTACCTTCATAAGTGATCTTTTTTCTCTTTCTGCCTGTTTTCAGTTCTCTGTCCTTATCCTTGATCTTTGCCATTTTAATTATTATATGTCTTGGTGTTGTCTTCCTTGGGTCCCTTGTGTTGGGAGATCTGTGCACCTCCATGGCCTGAGAGACTATCTCCTTCCCTAGGTTGGAGAAGTTTTCAACAATTACTTACTCAAAGACACTTTCTATCCCTTTTACTTTTCTTCTTCTGGTACCCTTATAATGTGAATATTATTCTGTTTGGGTTTGTCACACAGTTCTCTTAAGATTCTTTCATTCCTAGAGATCTTTTTTTTGTTTCTGTGCCTCAGCTTCTTTCTATTCCTATTCTCTAATTTCTATTTAATTTACTGTCTCTACCTCATCTGATCTACTTTTACATCCCTCCATTGTTTGTTTCATATCATATACTGTATTTTTCAAGGTTTCTATCATTCTTGAATTCCTCCCTGAGGTCTTGAATATTTTCCTGTACCTCCATGAGCATGTTTATGACTTTTATTTTGAAATCTTTATCAAGGGGATTTGCAATTTCACGTTCACTGAGCCCTCTTTCTTGAATTTTTTCTTGAACTTTTGTTTGGACAAAATTCCTCTATCTCTTCATTTTTTTTTGTCTTCCTAATGGGATAAAAGATTTATGTATGAGGTGCCCTCTAGTGTCCAGAAACTCTACTCTCTGGAGCTGCCAAGCACTTGTAGCAATGGCAGGGAACACAGGCAAGTGGCATTGGTGCCTGCCAGGAAGAAAGAGCTCTTTTCTTCTTCCCAGCTGTAGTGCCTGCCTCCATTACCAGTGTAGTGGGCCATACACACAGGGAGGAGTGTCTTTGATATGCTTCTGTAGCTGTCATAGGTGGGCCACCCTCCAGCTGGCCTGGCATAATGGCAGTTGAATAGGTGTGTGGGACTGATGCCTGCCTGGAGGAAGGAGTTGCAGGCTGCGTATAGCAGTAGGGAGCCTTGAGGCTACATTGCCAGCCAGGGGGATGTAGCAACTGATGCTCCTGAGAGTTCCTAACCTGCTGGGCTGAGTGTTCCAGGACGATTGTATCCACCTGCCTTTCCTCCTGAGCAGCAAGCTGTGTGTAATTGTTGCCCCTTTAGTGTCCCTTGTGCTGTTGGGATGTCTTTCAAAGCACCCACCTTTCTTTTGTCCCAGGGGGGCTGGTTGTGTGTACATGTTCTCAAGTGGCTGGAATCTCAGTCTCTCTCAGTATTCTCCCTGTCTTTGCTTTCCAAATCCACTAATCTCCAGAGTACCATTTAATGTGCATTCATGCTCCTGGAGCAGATCTGTAGGGCTGGGTGTTCAGCAATCCTGAGCTTCTACTCCTTCTGTGCTCTGTTTCTCTTCCTCCTGCCTGTGAGCTATGGTGTGGGAAGGGCGTAGATCCTGCTGGCTAGTGGCTTTGCTACTTTACCCTTTTCTGTGAGGTCCTCTCTTTTCCCCAGATGTAGGTGGTCTGTTCTGCAGTCCTCTCATTACTCTTTTAGGATTAGTTGTATTTGCTGTATTTTCACATTTTATGTAGCTGTGGAGGAGGTTTCTGCCTCACTTCCATGCTGCCATTTTTCTTCTGCCTCCCTGGGAAGTCATGTATTTTTTTTTCACTTTTTTAAAATTTTGTTATCATTCATCTACAATTACATGAAGAACATTATGTTTACTAGGCTCCCCCCTTCACGAAGTGCCCCACCCCACACCCCATTACAGTCACTGTCCATCAGCGTAGTAAGATGCTGTAGAATCACTACATGTCTTCTCTGTGTTGCACAGCCCTCCCTATTCACCCTCCACATTGTACATGCTAATCGTAAGGCTCTCTTTCTTTTTCCCCCCTTCTCCCTCCCTTCCCACCCATCCTCCCCAGTCCCTTTCCCTTTGGTAACTATTAGTCCATTCTTGGGTTCTGTGATTCTGCTGCTGTTTTGTTCCTTCAGTTTTTTTATTTTTATTTTTTATTTTGGTATCATTAGTCTACAATTACATGAAGAACATTATGTTTACTAGGCTCCCCCCT